AAAAAAAAAAAAAAAAAAAAAAAAAAAAGTAAAGACACTTACTCTTGAATAGTGAAATGTCAGTTTGACAACTGACTCCTGTAGACTTCTCTAGAGAGCCCTGTACCCTATAGCCCATGTCTCAGACTGTTTCTTCGCTGGATCAGTCCTTACATTATGGAGGCCACCTCTTCTCAGGAGAAACAAGGGGTAAGCAGCATTGTTTCCCTTAGAAAGCCACATTTCAGCTGCTGTGGGGAACAGCCAAGGCTTTTCTGGGCCAGTACCAGGAACTTGCTTAGGAAAACCACTGGCCGGCCAGGCAGCCACTCATTCTGGGTCCAAATCTCACTTCTATCTATTCACTACCAAAGCTCACTCTTGCAGAGGTCTTCATGGCTCATGGGTGGCAAAGGATACCTCTGTGGCTGACCAGAAAACACAAAGCCAAGACTGCAATTTGGAACACACTGGCTTAGCCTGGTGCCACATAACCAAAAGGATACAGGCAAACCAGCTACAGTAACCAGTATCTAGACTGTGGCTGGACTGCGGGCCACTTTAACTATTTTATATACAATGTGGCACAGGCCTATAATCTCAGCACTGGAGAGGCTGTGGCAGGCAGATCTTGAAGTATATAGTGAATGAGATCCTTGTTTCAAAAAGGGAAAAAAAAATTAAAATGAATATTGCTGTTTTCCCACCCTGAAGGTAACAACTACAGCTTCATTTGTATTTTCTCCTGACATCTCTGTGGCAAGGGTGTATGAGAAGCGGCCCAGCTTTAGCACGTCATTTGGTCTCATTCCTGCCCTCACTGGCTCTATCTTCCTGTAACCAAAGCCTATGTTAACTGCCCTTAAAGACACCAGTGCAAGAGAATAACCACAAAACAGGTGCAAAACTCAACAGAAAGCAAAAGGGCTGCAGCAAGTGATCAGATTCTACCACTCATCTTGGTGAGTGGGACTTCTATCCCACCCTGCCACCTCTGACCATCCTCCCGCAGCCCCCAGTACTTGGCACCCACAGCAGAACGCTGCAGGCCACACAGCACCGGAGGCCACACGGCCCAAGTCCCTAGAACAGGAACTGGGGCTTGAAGGAGGTCAGCATGGCTCACTCAGCGAATGGATAAACTGAATCATCACTTCACAAAGCTGCGAGCCTATGCACCAAAAGGACTGGTAAGAGACCATGTCAGATGACCATGTCAGATTACTGCCTTAAATAATCAGCTCATATCAAGAAATCCATTTAATTATCAGGTGTTAACAATTTCCTGGGCCGGGGAGATGGCTCAGTAGAGTAAGTGCTTGCCTGGCAAGTGCAAGGGCCTCAGTTCAATCCCTGGTTCTGCCAAAAAAAAAAAAAAAAAAAGAGGGAGAGAGAGAGAGAAATTGCTAAATATTAAAAAAAAAAAAAAAATTTTCCACATCAGTTCACAAAGTTGTATGATCTCTAAGGACCTCCTAACTCAGAGATCCTAGCGGGAAACCAGCACAAGACTATAGAAAACACCAAGCAATAAAAGAGAAAAAACTTGCACAGGGCCACATCTCCAAGACAGGCAAATGCCTGGCTTAAAACTAATGGTGGTGATTAGTCACAAGGTCTCAGAGCAAGCACAAAGGTCCACAAAATTCTAAGAGCTTGTCTTCCTGTAGTCAGAAAGACAGAGCACATTTTGACCTGATAAGCAGACACAAATGGGGACCAAGGACACTGTGTGCAATCACTGATCCAGAACTAAGCGTGGGCAGCTATGATAAGCTGAACTTCCTGAATAGAAAAAGAGAAGTCACATGAGCGTGCTAAAGAAATCCTCAGTCTGAAAATTGCAAAACTGGTATGTGTGGAGTTGTTACAATACAGGGCAAAGTGCAGATGACCCTAGGAACACACCCTAGGCTGTTCCTGTCTCAGTCCCCCACTGGGGGCAGCCTCCACCACCAGCACAGAGACCTCACCCAGGAACCACTGTGGGGCAAACACTGGAGTTGCCACTCACTCAAACCCACAGAACCCACTGAAGTTCTACCAAAACAGATTTGGTCAAGGTTATCACTCAGGGTTCCCCAGAGCGAAAGAACAGTGCTTTCCCTCCCAGAAGCATTCACAAGGGAGGCCTGAAGCTGTTCAGAACCAGAGACCAGGGGTCAAATCCCACACCTCCAATGATGCCTGATGTCACACTCCAGAACCTCAAGACACTCAGGGACCACTTGGGTAGGGCATCCACCGAAATACAGTGCCCAGCTACTTCCTTGGCCTGGAAAATCTAGAAGATAAGTGAAACTTAACATTAAGAAGGTAACATACGGGCTGGAGAGATGGCTCAGTGGTCTAAAGCACCTACTTGGAACAAACTAAGCTTTAGCAAAGCACAGGAACCGCGGTTCGATCCCCCAGCACCACATGCCAGCCAGCCGCGCCCCCTGGTGGGCTGAGCTGGCCACCCACCCACCCACCCACACACAC